TAGGATAGATAAGACAACATGGGCCCCATGTTAAATTCAACGTATGCCAGAGGTGTTATTTCACTAAGGATTTTTTTTAGCTAAGCCAATCAGTAATAGTGTTCACAGCTCACTGTTTTATCTGCGTTTGAAAGGTAAAAAGACGAATTGTCTTTTCTTGAGACACTGCCATATATAGAAAGGACATCTATAGAAATACGGAAAGAAGTAACTTACGCCTGAAGACTATTTACATATATTCAAGTCTCATATCAACCCCCTCAAATAGTGCAACTGTTCCTTTAAAACATAATCGGAAATGTAGTACACGTATCATCATCGACTCCTATTTAATCCTTCAATTTTAATCACTCTTGCTATATTCAGATAGTTTTAGTTGCCTTGCACAGCGTGTTTATTAGAATCTAGTATAGAGTGACGTTAAGAAAGATTATCAGAAAAATAATGACCATCACACCTCATTTTTACGAGTCTTTTGATAGGCAGTAAAAAATACAGGTTCGGTCAGAATGAGTATATTTAACTGATTTACCATCAAGATATGTAAACAACATTAACATAAAATAGAAGTAGATGTTAAGATTTATAATTTTCTGCTCAATTAGAGGTTAAAATAGAGAGATGTTTATCTATAAACAATCAATTGATTTTCCTAACTATGTTTTAAGATAAGTAATATTTAATCTGGAATTCTAATTACCAATGATCTAATTTCTCGCCATGACGTCTGAAATCTTAGGTACAAGACTTGTCTGGAATAATTGACGTTGCTATAAAATTTCAGGATTTAACCTATACTTCAATTCATCGATTCCTTGAATCTTTGTCAGATGGTATTTCGAAATATTATATATTATGCATGTATATATATATATATATATATGTATATGTGTATTATCATTATATTGCAAGATTTCAGGCTTTTTCAACTTGTAAGAGTTAATCACAAAGACAAATGAGGCACTTGCTTTGTTTTTTAATCTTAAAATATGGTTGTTGATTCCTCATCCATTTTATTTTTGTTTAATTTAGACATCCATTTCGAGGAGGACTAATGTAGTAACATCATTGTGTTGTGTTATTTTTAGTTCCTTAAAAGGATTATTAAGGGGTTTAACTCCTTAAACTCCAAGTTTTTATGCTGCAAATTCAATGTGGTATAATGACAAGATTTCTACAGACAACCAAAGTTCAACCTTCAATACCAAAGTTTAGCCTTCATTGTAACCCTAGAAGTGGGATTGCCCTTTTTGATACGAGTATATTTTTTTCCTTGGACACACGAGATGCCTTTTAGTGAGGTCATTTTTTTTTTCAATCACAAGTACATGTTTTAAGATTGGCGATATTACACTGTAACAAAGCTGTAATCAAACTGGTATGCGAACTAAAAAGTTGCATCAAGAATCACTTAATTGACAAGTGGTGTATTTGTAATTTGAGGTAATTTGTTTATATACTGAGTAGAAGAGTTTTAAGGAATATATTACTATCTTGTCAATATTCCAAAACATCTATCACCTTTAATTGTATATCATGTTATAATGAGTTCTTGAGCTCAAGATTTGTTCTACTCGATATTGTCAGAAGAAGCGAATCGTGTCTGCATCATGTACCCGTATAATGAATATTAGTCTCTTCTGGTGTCCAATATCATTAATCCCACACAAGAACCATTTTCGCCTCTCAAGTGTTGTTTCAGTTTCCGAGTTTATATTGCTCTATAAGTCTGATTTTAACTAACTTAAATATTATATTTGGGAGCCGCGGTGGCTCAGTGAGTTAGACGTTTGCTCGCTAACCTGAAGGTCCAGGGTTCAATCCCGGCTTAGGTCGAGATAATACCTTCGGATTTTTCAACCCGGTTTCCCCCCGTCAGTGATGCAGGTGAGAGAGGCTGACATGGAAAAAGCGTCTAGTCGTTCGGATGGGACAATAAACCGAGGCCCCGTGTGCTACAGGCTGTACACGTCAAAGATCCCTCGACAGTTGGAAATCGAAAAAGAGCAGGCTAATGCCGCTTTCCTGGCAATATTTCCCTCATTGCACCCTGCATGGCGTTGCCAATCTTCATTAGCCCACATGGTGCAGAAAAGAAGGACGTAAAACTCCATTCATTTCATTTCATTTCAATATTATATTTTCCAATATAATTGGTTTTCAGAATATTTTTGAAATGTTGGAGGTCATAAGTAGCCTAACTTCCGACTCCTCAACCGTTCGTAACCACGTAGATCCTTGCGATTTCGGAAAATCAGAAGGTTCCGTTTAAAATTAATCTAGAATATGGAGCCTTCAAATTGTTGTTGTGTTCATAAGATAAAAATCGAACTTGTGTATTTACGAGTCGGTAAAAACTACTTGACAGTCTTTTCCTGTGAAATTTATTTTAGGAAATAAAAGTATCAAAGAATTGTTGTACTTTGACCACGAGGAAGTCTTCCTATTTCTTAAACATAATTATGAAACGTTTTGCTATTTTATCTGGATTATTGTTTATTGTTTCCTTTCAAAAATTCAATGCACAAGTATGTAATATTCATTTTATTAATGAGTAATAGAAAAAAAATACAAAGATAGTGTAACATTCGTATAATATCACGAAAACAGAGTCGAAATCCAATAACATCAATTCAAATCTGGAATATAAAAACCGATATAGAGTTTACTGCCATCCTAATGGTTCACTGTCATTTAGGCCCAGTGATTTAGGCTAACCTTCAATTAAGCACATATTCACTTTTGCACATATTTTTTGGCACACGAATATTCGGCAAAATGTCTTTAGGAACAGTGATTTTGGGCACATAGTCATTTAGGTACACCCTTTAATATTGGGCACAATGTCAATTAGAAAAATTTAACAATTGTGGAATGTCCCTCAGGCCAAAGAATAAAAAATGGTAAAAGGAAAAAGATCGATTACCCTCGCCACATGATGGAGGAATAAAGTCTGTGAAAAAACATAAATTGAACGCGTGTCTGGACTTAAATACTGCATTTAATGTAATATGAATATATAATAGTGATATCTCCATGGAATAAGTTGCATTAATATGTATTACAAAGGCTTTCTTTCTCTATCATGTGGTCAGGATGACCTCTCCATGGACCCTATATCAAAACAGGTCGATGATGTTACAAGCAAACATCGGTTTGAACTAATTTTCAGAAGTTTCTGTTTCTTGCAATTTTCATAGATTTTGCTAGCAACTCATAGAGCTTTATTTGAAAATTGGAATGATGCGATTGATGCTATTAGTGTCTACGATTCACTGAGAAAGATTAGATATCTCTTCATAATCCCTTCAAGTTAAACAAGGCAATAAGAAAAACATATCCAAATGTTTTATTGTTCGGGTGTCACATGAGCACAACCTCTGTATAGAACAAAAGACAAGGTGATTATGCTTCTTTTGGAAGGTTTCCGGTTGTTGTCTGTATATACGGGGTATAGGACCACGAATTCCACGCTGGTGATAACGAGTTTTAAAAGATCGTAAAATCCGTCGTATTTCGTAATCTCTCTGACGCTGTATGTATACATATGCCTAAAAGGGTCGATTTCAACACCTCCATATGATGAATGAAAAGGGTTAGAAAGACTTGAAATGTATCTTGGATATGAAACGCCGACCCGATAAATAATACTATCTTAAGTATTGAGTGCATATTTAGTTATTGACCGTCCTAAAGATTATGTGAAAATAAATCTATTAATACGAGTACACTTATTGTCTACATGCACCAAGTAGATATATCCGATTTATCAGTGTTGAAGATGGAACTTGATGTAAACGTCTAAAAACATTATAAGGCCAGTAAAACAAAAATCGTACGGTCAGACATTGACATTTAGTGTTGACCAATAAATGAGTTGATTCCAATGAGCGTCAGTATTATAGTAAACATATAGGGAACCATGTAAGTCAGCTGAACCCCTTTGTAAGTTATTCTAAGAAATTGGACCAAAAACATCAATATTCATACAGTTTGAAGAAATGGATAGTGCCAATTTGCTTTTGTGCATTTCCTCAAAAACTGTTCTATCTAACTTACCTATCTTATCAATATTCTTAAGCATTCCAAGTTTCGTAAAAATCCAATCAGAACTGTAGTCAAAAGCAAATGACATGTTACTTGACTGCGGGTTTCGCTATTCCACAATATTTTTTGTCTCGAGGCGAAACGACTCAATCCCCGACCTAGATAAGTGCAGGAAAGCGATTTTTATAATGTTCTCGATTTAAGACAAGCAATATTCAGTATCAGTCAGATAACGTAAATCCAGAGATGAAAAGCCTCCCAGATTGTTGCTGACAGTCGTTGGAATTCCAGTTGCTCTCAGATTCTGCCAGTCGAAAGGTCATTCTGATCCCTAATTAGCCCCTTCTCCTCGAAAAATGAATTACACCCTGACCTTAATTTCGCTAATAGGAGCGACAGATGCATTTGTTGGTAGAGGTATTCCTGTTGTAAATGTTAATTGATAAAGAAGATTATACGAAATATCTGTGACAATTTTACCAAAAGTTAGATTTCAGGGAATACTTATTTCAGGACTGGTGCCATGGCTATATATAGTATGTTATATAACATGCAGTGTATGTTTGTGTGTATGTCTTTTCAACTAAAATCATACTAATGACTAACTAATTTTCACATAATCAATAGACTTATCTATTGCTCTGTGATCTAGGCCAGTGCTTTCATTGAGACTCGTCTCAATACACCCTAACACCAAATGTACTTAATTATCGAATGTAATGTCATGCTATTCATGTTAAATGGGCGTAGAGTAAACTACTTGCCACCTTTTTCCTTTTTATTGATGAAATCTTCCTCTTTCTTAATCCAAAATATTATTGTGAGATTATTTGTATGATTATATGGTTATTTGTTTGATGAATAAGTCAATCATTAAAATTTTATGCACAAAAATATCTTGAATATTCATTTTATTTAAAGCGAGAGCTTAAATTATAGCAAAGCAGACAACATTAAGCTGCTCTTAAGTTTGAAGCACAATATCTCTCGATACAGTGTCTTATTGCTCGAACTGTACACACGAAACAAATTCTATCAAGTTGTAGAACTTTATCTAATCCAGCGATTACTGAAATAAAAAATAGTAAAGATATATATTGGAAACTTTTACTTGCCAAGAATATTGGAAGTTTCGACGCACCTTTACTCAGATCACCTATTCAATTGATATCTATGCTCATTTTAAGACACAAATTCGAATTTTTCCAGGTATCTCGTTAAATATATTCCAATGAGGCTTGGAAGTCTTATTGTCGCGTCCAATTTTCAAAGAGAACAAATTTAATAAACCATTAAAATAATCGCTTGGACTCTACAGCATGGTAATATGTGTAAAACTATAAAGACGTTTTGAAAGCACGCTAATCTGAAAAACCAAAAGATAAAACCGCTCAGTTGCGGCACCAGTGGGGGTACAAGGGGACATTTTGCAATTTTGTAAAATATCAAAATATACTTACGGTCCTGCACCTCACTCGAAATTAAATCTTCTGAACTGTTTAATTCCATATCATCTAAGGTTGCTTGTACACTATTTCCGTTATCGCGATCTTCAGTTGATTGCAACTGTTGTAGTTCATAATCTGGTTGCATCCATCTGTACTCATTTGGTGTTAATATATCCCTTAAAGGATCGGCTTGAAAATTACGATTTTCGGTAGATCGTAACAACTGTTGTAACTGAGAAGATAGTTGATTCCTTGCGAATCCGTCTAAAGCTGGTCGTGGAGGGAATAAATCCCTAAAATTGAAGTCGATAAGATCAAGTGATGATTGAAAAGGGTTGAAACGACTTAAAATGTATCTTGGATATGAAACGCCGACCAACCCGATAAATAATACTATCATAAGAATCGAATGCATATTTAGTTGTTGACCGTCCGCAAGATTATGTTAAAATTAATATATTAATAACACGTGTCTTGTTTTATGTAAGAATGTGCCAAGTAGATATATCCGATTTATTAGTGTTGACGATTGTACTTGATGTGAACCTTATTAAGAGATAAACTTTTAAAGCCATCCCGAAAAACTGAGATATTAACAGGTTTAATGTAACAATGAAACATATGGGAGGGACTGACGTGGAAAAGGGGGTTTAATGATCCGGATGGGACAAATCTACAGGATTTACACGCTGAAGGTCCCCTTGAGTGTGACATATTGAAAATGACGTTCATTTTTCTAAATTTGATAGTTACTTATTAAAAACAAAATAATTACTAGAGCCACACGTGGCACAGAGTGGGACTTTGCAAATGTAGCAAAATGCTAAAGACTCTGAAAAAATCAACCTTCTACGATAATTACATCACGCGCAAGAGCAGTCTAAAGTTGAGAAGAATTGTTTGTAAGATTGTTATAACGGAAGTAGACAGCCCTCACAAATGAAAGTATCAGAAGATAGCCAAGGTCAATGACATTTGACATTGAAAGGGAGACGGTCAACAAAGGTCAAGGTTACGAGATACAAGTCATCCAAATTTTTAATTATATAGGGCTATAAAACCGGAAGTTGAGATAGGACAGCAAATATAAAAGTATAAATAGATAGCCAATGTGAATGACCTTTGATCCTACAAAAATCAGGGTCAAAAAAGGTCAAGGTCAAAAATTGAAAATTTTGAATTTTCAAAAGCTGTTCCTTTTTTTGAACTATAAAGCTGAAACAATCGAACTTCCAAGACAACGTGGCTCAACGAATGAAGTAATTGTATGCAAAGTTCCATTTTGAACAAATGTAAACGTTGCGAGTTATGTCCCTTGCCAAAATTGTCAATAATGAGTAATTTAACCCGGATGTGCTACGCCCACCTTAATTTCTTTTGCATAGGTTAATTGATATTCTGAATGTTATGTTGTGTTCCAAATTTAAAGCTTCTACATCATACAGGTCAAAAGATATAGGTCAACAAGAGTCAATAAAGGTCAAAATAGAAAATTGAAAATATAGAAATTTCAAAACCCGTTCCTTTTTTGGAACTATAAAGCTGAAACAATTGACCTATTGACACAAACTGGCCAAAATCATGAAGTAATTGTGTGCAAAGTTCCTTTTTGAACAAATGTATCCTATGCGAGT